ATCAGAGTCTGGGCGACCAAACAGAAAATTACAGAACGCTGTCCGGGTCGAGGAAATCGGTTCATTGGAGCCCCGAATTGGTGACCGAATCACCATCTTCGGATCACAACAACGTCTCCGCTCCTAACGGGTCCAATTCCTACGTTGCTCCCGCATCATCTTCATCCTCCTTCAAAGGCAAGCTCTGCATCTAACTGAATTTACTGATCTATGAGCGAATTTTGTGAATTTTTATTCTTAGAATTGGTTCTTTTATAATTTGGAAACAGGGAAGATGGAAACTGTGAAAGATGTGCTTGGAAGATGGGGGAGGAAGGTCGGAGAAGCCACGAGGAAGGCGGAGGATCTGGCCGGAAACACATGGCAGCACCGTGAGTTCTCTACTTTACATTTCTTTCTTTCTTTTTTTGTTGATTTGTGTTTTGATGCCTTTTGGTTTACATTGTTCCTTGGTTGTGAATTGGATGCTACTGTTATGTGTTGCCTTTTATTAGCTGAGGATAGTTTGTTAGTGGAAAATTTAAGGTTATTGCGCCCGGTTTAGTCTTTTCTTGATAATTTTACAGGACTAGAATAGACGTGTGCTGGATAATTCAATTCTTATTGGTGTGTGCTAAAATTGAATTCATCTTTGAGCTTTTCATGGTATTGTAATGATTACTTTCGTATTTAGTGCAGAAGTTGAAAATCAGAATTTTAGTAGGAATATGGTTTAAACACAGGTCTCATCTCCTCATCATGCCTTGATATGGTTACTTCGGCATTTTCGATAGTAATGTAGGAATTTTCTAGTTGGTGGTTGTTCCATCATGTCAGAGACAATTTTCTGAATCACCAATGAGAGTGTGAAGGGAAGGTGAATTCCAGAGAAGCAATTGAACCCTTTTCCTTCTTTTTCCCTTTCTTTTCACTTATGCATCGTTCGCATGGATGTATGTGTTCATGAAAATTGTTTTAATTGAGAGGAGATAACCATTTAGGAAAAAAATTTATGATAGGGTTAATCATGGCTTGGGGTGGGAGCTGTTTAGACTCGGAAAGAATTGGACTGCAATGGGTGAAAAGGTTGGTTTGAAGAAATAAGGTTTTGCTGCCTTGATAAATAGCCAACCATCTAAATTATTTGGGCCACAATAGTAACAAATTTCTTATTAAGTTCTTTGCATATTAGAAATTGCCTCACTGACAAGGTAGTTTAGTGGTGACTGGTGAGGTTGCTGCAGTACAATAGAACTGAGTGCAGTTGCTTGCATAGCAGCTCAACCTTAAGCATCAAGCAGTTGTACATTTGTACTACTTCCTCATGTCCCATACTTTAGTAAGCTCTTTCTTTTTTCTTTAAGTGCATCAACCTCTCCTTTGAAGTTTGGATGGGGAACTAGCTAGCTTTCTCTATTGAATCTACATTAAACATTTAAATGAATGTTTTATATATATATATATATATATATATATATCTTCTTTAACTGAATCATTTTTTATTTTCTGTTAAAGGTTAATATTTTAAAATTCTAATTTATTTCACCCCATATGCTGATTTCTATCTACCTGCTCCATTAGCATCATGTTATCCCAATCACCAATATCCTTCATCTGACACCATAGTAATTAAATGCTGTCAGCAATGGCCGTTTTGACTGCCAACACTGAAATCCTTCTTCTACCACCATAGTATTTAAATCTTTCATCTACCACCTTTTGTTCTTGATTATCCTGGAGGAACCATCCCATGAAATTTTAGAGAAGGAAAGACGTTTTAAGACTATAATCATCTTAGTAGGAACTTTATGAAATTTTTTTCTGTGTTTGAATTTTTTTTTTTTTTAATGTAAATTGCTTACTGTTTTCATAGTAGTTGTGTGTAGATAAATTAATGATATCCCTGTTTTCTTAATTTAGTGAGAACAAGCCCTAGTCTTGCGGAGGCTGCTATGGGAAGAATTGCTCAAGGGACAAAAGTTCTTGCAGAAGGTGGCTATGAGAACATTTTCCGGCAAACTTTTGAAACTGTTCCTGATGAGAAACTTCAAAATTCTTATGCATGCTACTTATCCACATCAGCTGGTCCAGTCATGGGAGTTCTATATGTTTCTACAGGAAAGCTTGCTTATTGCAGTGATAGTCCTCTTCCATATAAAAATGGCAGCCAAACTGAATGGAGCTACTATAAGGTATGTATATCTGAGTCATATGTCATACATATAAATGCATTTATTTCTTGTGGTTAGTATTGAGAATTGAGATCTTATGTTCATCTGATTCCATTTATCTAGAGTGAGCTACATACACGTGTGTGGAAACTTCCTGATTCTTAAGATCATACATAAGAGTAAGATAAGAATGCTTGAATTTTAAAATGGAATTTCTTGGGATAATGATAATCAGGAAAATATTCTCTTTGTTGGCTGTACAAAACCTGATCAACTGAAGCCCATGCAGCTTCAATTGCAGACCTATATAATTCAGCTTCTTGTTTTATGAGTCTCAGATATATGGCCTGTGAAGTGGAGATATCTTGAGTATATGGTCTTATGAAAAATTTTTTCTTTCATATATCTTTTCATTTTAGGGATTTTTTTTATTTGATGAACTAATTTTGCTTGTAACTTATGCCATAAGTTTATATACCTAAGTTATGATCATGGCTTATATATCATGTTCCTCTGTAAATGACATAAAATTGATTCTGGACTTCCCTTGTATTTCTGCGTTGCATTGCACTCTAGAAAGTCCTGCAAATTGGAAGTGCTTTGCATTATGGCTGATACTAAATGTACCCATAACTTCAGTTTTAGTAGCGGGGTTTTTTACTTTTGAATATTACTAATTTTCAACAACAAGGGATATAGTTATCAAACAAGAAGGCCTATGTCAGGAAATGGATCTTAAAAATTTGCATCTTTACAAGGATGAGAAACTCATTGAACGAATAGTTGGTAGATCTGCTGAGTAAGGAAGTAAGGTTTGCTAATTCTTTAGGTGCAGTAGATGAAGAAACTGTGAAAAGTGGATAGAAGATCAATTTGTTTGGAAATTTGACGTTTGACCATGCACATGTCTGTTCAGAAAGCTTCTGACTTTAAAATTTGACCCTCCTCCGTCCTCCTGTGGCCTGCAATATTTCTCTTCCTTTTGTCCGGACTCTCGTATAATATGTCTTGACATTGTTTTTCTCTGCTTAAATAGGTTGTCATCCCATTACATCAGCTTAAA